GGGAGGCTCCGCCGGCCGGGGGCAGCGTCCGGCTCGGGCCCTCCTGGGGCTCCGGCGTCCGACGCCGTCCGACGCTTTCGGCGGCTCTGTCGGCGGCCCTCTGACCTCGGGGGGTGCGCCTCCGCGGCTGCGCCGCCTCGTCGAGAGCGCCCTCGGGGGGTATCAGCATCCAGTCCGAACGGCCGCCGGAGGCCCGACGCGAGGGCCATCGGGGACTCGGCATCGCTCGGACGTGTGCATGTTCTTTCTCGGCGAGGACCATCGAGGAGCGCTGTGGGTCACCGTGCGAAAAGATACGCGCACGGCATCGAAAAAGGCACCGGGAACGGACGGCCGAGCGATGGCACGGGGAGACATCGGTCAGGGACAGCGTTCGGAGGGCACGGTGGGTTCGCGTCGTGTCGACCAGCGGCGACCCCAGCGCGGGCGTGCAAGGTGGAGCGCCGCCCGTAGCCCAGGATCGGCCCATCGTCGTTGCACGAGATGTAGCCACGAGGTGCACTGTGTACTGTTTTGTTGACACTGATGCTGGCCCTGCGCACGGCAGGAAATATACTGACACCCCCGCCGTCCATGCCAAAACACAATCCAAAGTGTTCGCGGGTCTCACGAACATGATTCAAGATTTTGCCCCAACGTGTATTTTGGATAGTTTTTGACAGGGATGGTGGGGGGGGTGCATCGGGCTGGTTGCGCATGTTTCGAATTTGGAGGCAGAATGTGTTTTGTATTGCTTTTTCATCGGGTTGGTTTGGGGGGTGAGCGTAGGGTCCGCATTTTGTCTGGTTGGCTGCCGGTCGCCTGGTGGAGGCGGCTTATATCAATAGGGAATAGTGATGAACCCTTCCCCCGACCAGGGGAAGAACGGATTTTGCCAGAGATAACAAAAGAGTTCGTTGAGCCACCTACGCCCCGAGGGAACTATCAGGCCCCCGATGCGTGGCAGACTCTCCCATGAAGGGGAGAGGCAATCATGATGGATGCATGCTGCATGTGCAAGCATTGAACATTTGTGTGAAGTATGTGTTGCTGTTCGTTTTCGACCTCGTGGGGCCGTCGGGACCTTCCACAAACAGCTCGGGATGAAAAGAGCCAGCCCTGGGCAAGGGGTCGACATCCCCAGGGGACCGTGTCACGAAACCAGAAGGCAGCTCGACGTTTGGGACCCACCGGCAGCCGACACGGCCGAGTTTCACTTTACTTCACTTCCGCAGTGGCGAAGATGGGTGGACAGGCTCAAGAGGGAACTCATCGACCCCCAATCGCCCACTGATCGCCGACAGCGGTCTGATAGCCCCACCCCGCTCACGAACGTGGGGAACCGCCGTCGGTTCCCGATCGCCGATCTATCGGCGACGTATCGCCGATTTCAGGTCGATGTTCCCCCCCCCCTGAGCCAGTTCCCCCCCCTGGCGTGGCCCCTCACGTCCTCCTCCTCCCCCTCCAGCACAAGATCGCCGACGGGGGCGCAGCGGTCGGCTGTGCCACGGGTGGCGCCTGTGGCCGCCAGACACCAGACGGCCCGCTGCTGGTGTGCCGTGGGTTGCGCGCTCCGCCGCCGAGAATGCGTCGGCTTGCCACTGGGTGTGCCGAAGGTTGCGCGCGCGACCGCCCCGAGCGAAGCGGCCTGCGGTGGGGACGAGATCGACCGACCCCCCAAGGAGAGGGTCGAGGCCTCCGGGGCACACGCATCGGAAAGAGGTGGATGGCGTGACATCGGAGGTCCCGGTCCGCCTCCTCCACCTCCTCCCCCTCCTCCTCATCCTCCTCTTCCTCCGCCTCATCCTCCTCCTCTTCCTCCGCCAAGCCATCAACGACAGGATTGAGGTGCGTTGGATGCGGGAGGCCGAGAGGAAAGGATTCCCTTTGCATGTGTGGTGCGGCAGTGAGGTCGCAGACGAGCTTGCGAGGAAAGGAGCAGACAGTCATCAGATCCCTCCTGCCCAGCTCGGTTGCTGCACGTGGGCCATCGCCACTGCCGCCAAAGCGAGAGCGAGAGCCCGTATCACCCGCGCCACTGTTACTCTTTCTGGCTCGAAGGCCAGGGCCTCTCAGCCGACCCAGGGGAACAGGGCTGCTTGGAGGTTCCGCCCCGACGGGCTTGCGCTCAGGCCCAGGCCAAGTCTAATCGAACCATACCCTGTGCCTTTGGAAGACCCGCTGGGGTTGTTTGGACTGTAGGAGCTCTGTCAGCAACACCGCTTCCGAGTGTGATTCGAACAGGTGGTTGTCACGAGACTGCCCAGGCCCCCCTCCCCCTACCGCACCCCGCAGCCCTGGAGCTGGGTACGAGGAGTGCCCACACGTCGCAGCAGCTCCGATGTCATGGGCCGTATTAGAATTGTGAGTCTTGCGGAAGCCGTGCGTTGGAACGTCGAGGGCGATTACGAGGCCTAGCTCGGGAATGCAGATGTAAAGATGGAGATCCACCATCCAAGATGGGATCGTGTGTCCTTTCACGTGTCAAGAAGGGCCGATCTGGTGAGCGGCTGGGGTGCCAAACTCGGTGTGGCCTCCGCGCCATGGCCCCGACTGGCGGACGCCTGCGGAGCCCACAAGGCTGGGCTGGGGAGCCGAGCTCATGCCAGCTTGGCGCTCCGTCTGGAGGCCACTCTCAGAAGTCCTGCTGCAGTCCTGACACAGTCAGTTTGGGAAAGTCCTGTGGAAAGTCCTCCTCCCCATCCTCCTCCCCCTCATTCTCCTCCTCCTCCTCCTCCTCCTCCTCCTCCTCCTCCTCCTCCCCCTCCTCCTCCCCCTCATTCCTCTCCTCCTCCTCCTCTTCCTCTTCCTCCTCCTCCTCCTCCTCCTCCTCCTCCTCCTCCTCCCCCTCCTCCTCCGCTGCGACCCCGTCTTCCCGCGCATCCCCCTCCTCCTGCGCTCCAGCGCCCCCCGCCCCTCCGCCACGGCCCGAGCAGATCGCGACGGGGCGCGCGCGCGCGTTCGCTCTAGGGGCCAGTCCCGCCGCGCCCCAGACCAGTTCGGCCCAGAGCGAGAAGAACCGCCACCACCAGCAGGGGGGTTGGCCGCTCCTCCCCCCCGTGGCGCCAGCGTTGAACCGACAGCTTTTGCGGCGGCAACCGCGTTGCCAGGGTGTCCCGCTGCAGGGGTCGTTCGGCCGTCCGCGCCAGGGCGCCCAGCTCCGCAAAGGAAAACGCTCTGGCCGAGCTGGTGGCACTCCGCTCCGGGCGCGTCCCCGGGACGGAGCGCCACCCGCTCGGCGGGCCCCCGGGAGCGGAGGTCCGGTGGTGGTCGTGGTGCTTCTCGGCATCCTCGGGGAGAGCCGGCTGCGCGCCCGGAGGGAAACAAGAGGGGGCGGGCTCGGGGGCGCGTAACGGTGTGGCGATCCACGGGGGGGCAGCGAGGGCTCCAGAGCAGGAACCCTCCAGGGCCCCCAAAAGGGGCCCTCCAGGACCCCTTTCGGGTGGCCTCTAGGGTCCGAAGCGGGCACCGTTCTTCCCCTCCCCCATTGATCGCCCCCCTGAATTCGCGTTCCATGCCAGCGCGCCTTCTCAGAAGGCGGCGGAGCTTCTCAGAAACCGTCCAGCCTTCTGGGTAGTTAGCCGTCTGCGTCTTCGGAGAAGGCCCAGAACATTGCTCAAGGGCTGGAGGCCGTCTGAGCATTTGAGATCGCCCGCCCCATTGGCTTTGCCCCTGTGCGCGCCGCCGGTGGAAGAACGAGGGCTGGATCGTGTGGGCGCGAGCAGGGTCTGAGGAGGGCAGCCGCAGCCACGCAGTCCTCCGCCATCGCGAAACTCGATATCGCTCGAACGTGTGCATCTGTTCCCCGGCGAGGAGCATCTTGGATCACCGTGTCAAGCAATCAACTCACGAAAAAATAGAAAAACGTACGGGGAATGGACGTCCGAGCGATGGCAAGGAAAGGGACGTCACAGCGGGCGTCAGTGTCCAATTGTCACCCGCGGGGGCGCGACGATGTCTGCGCTTCGCATTTCTCGGCTTAGGCATGGAGTGTCGCCTTTCGCCAGGGTGGCCGCCCAAGGTGGCTTCACTAAGGCGCGGAGATGAATGCGCGTGTAATGTGTCGCAAGAGGGGGAAGCGCGAAGTTGGGTTGCCCACATTCCACGGCGTCTGGTGGTAATTCTTGTGACCAGCAATAGCGGCCCATGGCTAAATCGCAGCCTCGGCGTCCAGGTCTCCAGGGGGGGGGGGGGAGAACACGGGGGAAGAAACACGTCGTGAGGGGATCACGTCGTCGGAGGTGTCTGGTTCGTAACATCCCCGACCATGTCCATGATGTGCCCTGGATCAGTTTCGATTATCCCTCGGGCCAGCGAGGAGGACGTACACTTCGATCCGTTGTTCAGAAAGGGCCTCGCCAGGATCGGCATGACGTCCTCCCCTGCCAGGCATCCGACGTCGTGATCTGCTTCACGACTCTGGCCGTCGAGCTCCGGACCCGACCCCCGCGGACGTCTGTTCCTGCTGCTTCCGTTCCGCGGGCCGTCCCTTTTGTGGCCAGCCCTGGACTCTCCAGAGGCAGCCCCCGGTCGTCGAGGCCGCCAGCGGGGGGCACCCCGCGCTGCGCCCCTGCCCGTTTCGCGACGCCCGGAGGCCTGGGTGCCTGCCGCCCGAGGCGGGGGCCCATCCCACGACCACCGCCTGGGAGACCGCTCGACCTTCGGGGGTGGACAGACCTCCTGCCCCTGACACGTCGAGTAGCGAATTGGCCGCTCTCGGTTCGCGAGAGGGCGTCGCGGCCGTCATTTTTGCGGGTCCAGGTCCGTCGGTTTCGGTCCCAGGCCGTCTTCACTAAGGGGGGAGGTCTGCTAAAGGGAGGTCTGTCCACCGCCGAGACCTCCCGGGGGGGGGGGCCACGGCGGGCGGTGGGCGCGCACGTGCTCGGGCCTCTGCGAGGGCCAGCTCCGTCCGCGTGCGCCGCCCGCCGAGGCCTCCGGCGAGCGATCTCCCCTTGGGCGTGTTTGGTCGCGCGCGCGGGCCCCCGCCGCGCGCGCTCGGGGCCTCCCCGCCGCCGCCCGCCATGCTGGCGGAGGTCGCGCAGCGCATCCGGGAGGCCCAGAGGCTGGCGGACGAGGAGGCCGGCGTGGGCCCGGCCGCCTCGTCGGGGGCCGCCGCCTCGCCGGGAGGCAGGCAGGCTGGCAGCTGGCTGAAGGAGATGCGCAAGCAGGCGCGCTCCTTGCAGGTCGGGCCTGTCCCTCTGCAGGAGGGGTATTCGAAGACCGTCCAAAAAGTAGTCCAGGGACGAGTTCTTCGTATGTTTGTTTTGCATCTGTTTTTTACACGTTTTGAATACTTGTTATGTGTCGTTCAAGATCCGCCTGTATGAGGGACACGCCCGACCTAGCGCTTCTTCGAGGGAGCCTTGTTTATTCGCAGGTTTATAGACCTCCTGCCCTGACACGTCGATTAAGGAATTTGCCGTTTTCGGTTCGCGAGAGGACGTCGCGGCCGTCATTTTTGCGGGTCCAGTTCCGTCGGTTTTGGTCCTAGGTCGTTTTGAGTAAGGGAAGGTTTACTAAAGAGAGGTCTGTCCACCGCCGATATATAGCCAAGGCGTTGAAATAAGGTCCGCTCTGGGTTCAGAAGGGCCTCGCCGTTTTTGTAGGGTCATCCCGTGGTTGTGCCTCCAGCCCTCCTCGTGCACCCGGGCGCTTCTGGTGCCAAGAAGGGGCTTCGGTCCTTATTTCATCGCTTCGCTCATTCCGCCGGCCCTGGAGCCCTCTCTAGGGCCTCTTGGGGACCTCTTGGAAGGCTCTGGGGGCTCCTTGGCGGCGTCTTGGGTTAGGGGCCTCTTGTGGCGGGAGGGGGGGTAGTCGATTGCGGCTCCCCCTCGGAGGCCACCATCCTCGTGAGGGGTGTCGGAAAATGGCGCTCCTTCTTTCATCAGCCCGATTGTACCCTCGCAATGAATTCCGTCTTTAGTTGTGGAGAACGATCAATGGAGAGGAAGCATATTGCCAAACAATTTCCAGATGTCTAAAACATGTGTTAAACATGTAAACAGCATGCTTAAAACATGTTTAGAGCAAATTTCCGAAATTTTGAACACATGCTAAATTCAATGATAGGACTGTTAGGGTGTCCATTGTCGTGGCATCCACAAGTCTTTAGGGTGCGTTAGCGTCGATTAGCGTCTGGTAGGCGATGAGATAGCGCCGATTTGGCGTCCATCAGTGTCGGTCTGCAAGAGAGAACAAGATGGTATGGAAGGCCCCCATGAGTTGCCGCAGAAGGTTCGAATGTCGAGGTTTTCTTGCGTTTTCGTCGGTTCTCGGCGGTTTTCCAGCCTCGGGGTGCCTTCAGCAGCTGCGCTGCCAGCGTCGCCACGGTTGGAAAATAACAGCATGAGCAGATATTGTCGGAGTTCTGCTCGGATTTCTTGGATCAGCGATTGGGTCCCAATCGGGTCCACCGCCGATCTAAGAACGCCGAGCGGAGCTCCGAAAGCTTATGTTTATGCAGGTCTTTTTCCCTGTATGGATCGCCCCCGACATTCTGGTCGCAACACATCCCTGGAGAGGTCCTGGATTCGATTCTGTTGGAAATTGGTGCATATGCATTACCAGTGGCTGGCTGTTACTCAATCCCATGACTTTTGAGAGTCGGGGACGACGTTGGGGTGGTGTGGTGTGTACTCATTTCCGCGTTTCCCAAGGGAAACAACGAAAAAGGTATACACCAGGATTCCCCGCATACACCAGGATCCGCTGTCCTGTGCGAGTTCCAGTGAGGGGCCAGAAACAGCGCTGGTGTATAGAGTTCGGTCCCTTACACCCCTGGAGAGGTCCGGGACTCGATTTTTTGGGGGGGCCCGGGCTGTCAATGCTCTGCTCTCCTAGGGCTTTGCAGCATCGTCCGCACCTTGCTTCTGCATGTCCGAGCTCCGTAGCTGCCTACACGCCCTCCTGTGCTCAGCTGCGCTCTTGCTCCTTCCGGACACTGCGCAGGCCCGACGAACTCTTGAGAGGCCCCTTCCAGTGTGTACATCCCTGGAGAGGTCCGCTGCCCGCTTATCATTTCTTTGCGATTTCTATTGAAATGCTTTGCCTGGCGGTGTTTAGGGCCATGTTTAGGGTCGGGTTTAGGGTTGAGGGCCTCGATTCTGGCGGGGGGCCCGGCGCCCCAGCGCAGGCCTTCGGCCTTCGGCGTCCCGTGCTCGGGAGTCCCCGGGGGGGGGGGCGCCTCGGGCCTCGGCCCGCCGGCACCTCACAGGAAGTCGGGCCCATCCCTCCTGCAGGAGGGTTGTCCCAAACCGGTCAGCAGATGATGCGGGGACGATGTTCGGGGTTGGACAGACCTCCTACACTGACACGTCGATTGAGGAATTGGCCGTCTTCGGTTCGCGAGAGGGCGTCGCAGCCGTCATTTTTGCGGATCCAGGTCCGTCGGTTTCGGTCCCAGGCCGTTTTCACTAAGGGGGGAGGTCTACTAAAGGGAGGTTTGTCCACCGCCGAGATGTTTTGCTATGTTGAGCTCTTGTTGGGTACGGTTCGACATGTTGTCAAACATGTCGTCCAACATCCCCCTGCGGGAGGACATGCCCGACCCAAACCTAACACCATCTGCGTGCAGCGTTCAGGTTTCATTTCTTCCGGTCTTGACACTGCTGTGCAGGTGCTTGCAGGCATGCTTCGAGATTCTCAGTAGTGCCTCGAGGCCTCGAATCGGAAGCGTCGGCTTGCATGGTGGGCATAGACGATGAGCCTTCTGAGAGCTATCTTGGATTGCGCACTGCTGGGAACATCCTGAACTCGAGACCTTCTGGGCTACGCATCCGATCAAGGCCATTTCACGACAGGCGGCCGCCGCCGCGCGGCAACTGCCGAGGTTGAGGTCGAGGGGGCCAGGGATTTGACGAGGGGCCAGTCGAAGCAACGTCAGGCCTCCCTGGCGTTGTGTCGTCTTGTTTGGGCTTCGGGGAGGTTTCTCATCGGAAGCTGCTGCAACAGCGCAACTGCTGGGGCCTGGCCCCAGGAGCAGCGGAGAGCTCCGCGGGGGCACTCGGGCCTGGCGGTTTGGTCTGGTGACAGCCGCGGTCTTCCCGCCGGCAAGTCGCGCGAGCTCGCGCAGCGGAGGAGCTTCACCCGGGAGCACTCCTCTGGCCCGTGTCGCAGAGAGTTTGGGACACCGACGGGTGAGTCAGTGGGGATCTGGAGTGAGCGCACGGTTTTGGGACACGGGTCGTTCCCTGAGGAGGTCTCGGGCGTCTGGGACTTCCAATGTACAGAGATGGTGCGCTGACGGGCCGTGCGGCGAGGTCTTCGGGGGTGTGCAGTCGCCGCACGGTCTGCCACCGCACCGTCTTGGGACCCGCACGAGTTGGGCACGGTTGTGCTATGAGACCCCGCGTGCGGCGAGCGCTCCCCCCCACTCCGAGAAAGCACAGTTCCCGCCCTACCGACCCGACGTGGCCCACTGCAACCACCGATGTTCGCATGCTGCAGCTCTCCGCTCCGCCTTCGGTCCCATCGACGATGCTCGTTCGATGTCGGACCATGGGCATGTTTAAAGTTTTGCTGGAATAGCTCTTAAGGGCAGCACATCTGGCCGGGCTTGTCACTCAAGACCCAAGACTCAAGACTCAAAGCATGTGCAAACTATGCCGAGCTTAAGCCACTCGTCCAGTTCTGGGAAGTTCCTGCACCAGCTGGCCCAGCACGGGGCGCTACTCCGCGCCCAGCGCGCGCCGCCTCCTGGCGATCGGCTCGGGCGGAGGCGCATCGCCTCCAGCCAGCCCGCATAGCAAGGACGGACAACCTTCCCGAGGGTGCACTTGCATCCTTGCCCCTTCGCCCCATCCTCAGCGACTTTCGCTGGACGGCCTCGTCCGGAAAACGTTAACGTGGGCCTCCCAAAGCCCTTGCATCCTTACCGCACATCCTGATAATACGGGTTGACTATGCTCATACGTCCGAGATGCCACCCAACGACTCTGATGCCAAGAGCAGCGTGACCGATCCCTGGCAAACCCACCCCTGACGTGACGGCCCAGTCGCCTCGCTCCGGGACGTAGGCAGGCGGCAGGAGGGGGGCATCGAAGACGAGGGGCGGTCGTTGAGCAAGGGCTTCGTGGCGGAAGGAGTCGGTCAGGGCGCGCCCGATGTTTTCGAGCACAGGAGAGCGAAAGTGCGCCAGTGGATCCCCTTGAATACACCAAAGGGGGGGGGGGGGGCAGAACCCCCCCCCCCCTCCCACCCTTCAAGGGGGGGGGGGGCTCCAGAACCCCCCCCCTCTCCCCCCGTTAAGGGGGGGAGGTGGGTTCCGAACCCCCCCCTCCCCCCCCCATTGAAGGAGATGGGGGGGGGGTCCGAACCCCCCCTCCCTCCCCCCTTGGCGCTGGAAAGGGCGGGGGGTTCGGACCCCCCCACCTCCCCCCCTTTGCGCCGGAAAGGGAGCCGGGGAGGGGGGGCCTGTCTCGCTTCTCCTTTCTGCGCCGGAGAAGGTGTGTAGGGAGTACGGAGTTGGGAGTAGGGAGTGGTGGGTAGTGAGTAGTGAGTTAGTGCGTAGTGAGTAGTGAGTATTGGGTAGTGAGTAGTGGGTAATCAGTGGCGAGTAGGGAGTAGGGAATTGGGAGTGGGGAGTAGTGAGTAGTGAATAGTGAGTAGTGAGTACTGATACGTGAGCGGTGAGTGGCGAGTAGTGAGTAGTGAGTAGCGAGTAGCGAATAATGAGTACTGAGTAGGGAGTAGGGAGTAATGAGTAGTGGGTAGTGAGTAGTGGGTAGCGAGTAGTGGGTGGCGAGTAGTGATTAATGAGAAGTTAGTAATGGGTAGTGCGTAGTGCGTAGTGAGTAGTGAGTAGTGAGTAGAGAGTAGCGAGAAATGAGTAGTGAGTAGTGAGAAGTGGGAACTGAGTAGTACGTAGTGCGTAGCGAGTAGTGAGTAGTGAGGAGCGAGTAGGGCGTAGTGAATAGTGAGTAAGTAGAGAGTAGTCAGTAGTGAGTAGTGGGTAGGTATTACTGAGTAGCGAGTAGCGAGTAGTGAGTAATGAGTAGTGAGTAGGGAGTAGTGAGCAGTGAGTAGTAAGGAGTGGTTAGCGAATAGTGGGTAGTGAGTAGCGATTAGTCAGTCGTGAGTAGTGGGTAGTGATGAGTGGGAACTGAGTAGTACGTAGTGCGTAGCGACTAGTGAGTAGTGAGGAGCGAGTAGGGCGTAGTGAGTAGTGAGTAAGTAGAGGGTAGGCAGTAGTGAGTAGTGGGTAGGTATTACTGAGTAACGAGTAGGAAGTAGTGAGTAATGGGTAGTGAGTAGGGAGTACCGAGTAGGGAGTAGTGAGCAGTGAGTAGTAAGAAGTGGTTAGCGAATAGTGGGTAGTGAGTAGCGATTAGTCAGTAGTGGGTAGTGGGTAGTGAGTAGTAACTAGTGACTAGTGAATTGTGACTAGTAGCGAGAGACTATGTAGTGATGAGTGAGTAGGGAGTCGTGAGTAGTTAGTAGTGAGTTTTGAGTAGCGGGGAGTGAGTAGTGCGTATTGAGTAGCGAGTATGGGAGTAGCGAGTAGTGAGTACGGAATATTGTGTAGCCAGTATCGTGTAGGGAGTAGGGAGTAGCGTGCAGCGGGTAGTGGGTAGTGAGTAGTGATTTGTGGGCAACGAGTAGTGATTAGTGAGTAGCGAGTAGTGGGTAGTGGGTAATCAGTAGTGGTTTGTGAGTATTGAGTAGGGAGTAGTGAGTAGTGCTTTGTGAGTAGTGAGTATTGAGTAGTGGGTAGTGAGGAATGAGTAGTGAGTAGGGAGGAGGGAGTAGTGAGTAGTGAGTAGTGAGTAGCGAGTAGTGGGTGGTGGGTAGTGAGTAGTGAGTCGGGAGTAGTGAACAGGGGGTAGTGAGAAGTGAGTAGCGAATAGCGAGTAGTCAGTAGTGGATAGTGAGTAATGAGTAGTGAGTACTCTTTGGGGTTCGGGTTTGTGGTTGGGGTTAGGATTAGGAGCTTGGGTTAGGGTGGAGACTAGGGGTAGGGGTGGCGGGGGTCGGGTTCCGGAGTCAGGGGGCGGCGTGGCGAAAGGGGGGGAGGGGGGGGGGGCGCGGCCAAAGGGGGGAGGGGGTCGGACCACCCCTCCCCCTTTTGAAAGGGGGAGAAGGGGGGGGGGGGTCCCCGACGACGGATCGAGGAAAGGGGGGGGGGATCCCCCGACGACGGATCGGGGAAGGGAGGGAGGGGGAGGGGTTCCCCGACGACGGATCGAGGAAAGGGGGGGGGGGCCCAACCCCCCCCCTTGGGGTTATCCAGCGGGGCACCCTCCAGAAGAGCCCCTTTTCCCGAATAGCACGATGAAGTCGTGGGCTCATTGAGGTTCCCGTTTTCGCATGAGGGGCAGTCTATCAATCTTTGGGGTTTGGTCTGATACAACTGCAAAAAAGACCCCTATCCCTAATGTTATTGGACCTGCTAACTTCGGCCCCCTCCCCGAACGGTGAGGGGTTTTCTTTTTGGTGAATCACGATGGCTAGTATTATTGTGAAGAAAAAGGCCCAACCAAACTCGGGCTGGACGAAAGGGTAGAACAGGGCAAGGGGGGGGGTACGAAATCTGCTGCATGCAGCTGGTTTCCGCCTCGCCGCTGGGCCCATTCCTCGGAGCATGGGCGCCAGGAGGCGCCATCCCCCCCCCCCGGGTGTCACCCCGGGGGTCCCCCCTTCCCCCCGCGGGGAAGGGATCAAAAAAAAGAGGAGGCTTCCCTCCGACTCAGCTACGACGTTGCTCAATGTCCGTTTGGCTGGCGCGCTTAAGGAGTAGGGCCCAGGGAAATTAGACGGGAGACGACGAGGAGACGACAAAGACGGAGACGACGACGGAGACGATGAGGAGACGACGGAGACGACACGACGACGACGGCGACCAACGGAGGCGTTTTTTCCCACGCCGACAGGGTCGGCGGATACTGTGTTCTGCCACAAAATGCAGCATGTTGCAATCCACCACACACGATTTGTTTTGCAATCCGTAGGCCCACTGCACATGGTATGCGCTTTCCCAGAGATCCCAGTGGGTTTCAATAGAAGAGTTGCTTTCGCTTATGACCACCTAGAGCTTCTAGAGCTTCAGAGACTTATCGGTGAGACTGTTGACTTTTGTCATGCCTGCTCAGCGAAGCCAGATTTTTGAATGTATTCATGACAGTCGAGCAGTATTGTTCCATAGTTATGGGGCCAGCATAACATTAGTCTGCCATAGAGAAGGTCCTATACTGCTCATGCGAAACAAGAAACAAGTTCGTTAATTGAGAAATGGTAAACCATTGGCGTTCGGACTAACAACACAATATGTGTTGCACGTACAACGGGTTCTTAGCAGACTCGTTGTTATGACGAATTGGACAAGGGTGCGATGCAAATGTTGTGGTGGAGTGCAACAGACACCCTGCCATGGCCAACAATAAAAAAGGATCTCTCTCTGTGGCTGGCTACAAAAGTGCCCCTCCCGCGGCGGAATGGATAAGGATTTTTTGCGGCGGATTATACAATGACTTTTTGTGTGGCAGACTACAAACAGGTTTCTTCTGTTGCGGCATACACACATTTGTTGTGCGTGCTGATATACACATGCATTCCTTTTTGTTGCAAATCAACATCGGTCTTCCTTGTGTGGCGGATTGCGAAGGGATTCTTGTTGTGGCGGAGCACAACCGGATACATGTTTGGTGGAGTACACAGGGATCCTTCTTGTGGTGGGCTACGCAGGACGATCCCTCTCCCCAACGTATTGGTCTCCCAGGCAACCGACATTTTGCTTGGGGATTCTCCGTTTTTTGGGGGGCCCAAATGGGTACAGAAAAATGTGTGCGAAAACTAAGCAGTTCCTGTCTATGTTGGCAGGATTCGTTGCGGGCGTCGCCGCGGACATTGTCTTTTCTGGACGTATAGGCGGCAGCCCAACAGCGGCCGCTGCTGGTTTGGGATAACATGTGCTGTTGGGTATCCGCTGTTTCCATACGAATTGTGGGCACGCTGAACATTGACCACGGCTGACATGTCAACACTCTCTTGGACTTGTTCAAGACTTAACGGTTATTGCCGTCCCTCGACTCGCGCTGGAGCGGCCGGGGTGTGCTCCAAATTGTCCCCGGGATACGTTATTTATTTAGAGTCACTCCAACAGCTGAGTCGAATTAGTTCGTCCGTCGTTTCCTTTCTTGCGCGCCACAACATCCCAGACACCCGACGTCTTGCGCACCACTCCATCCCAGGGACCGCTTTGTCACCCTCGTGTTTGAAGGTCTCAGGGCCCGGTGGGCCCCAGGAGGCCGAAAGTTGCCAAGAACCACAAGGTGCGATTTCTCCACGACGAAACGATGTCAGGGATTCTTTTCTCTTGTGCACCGCGCCACCATGTTCAGCAGCTCAGCCTAGCCATCCAGGGATTCTCACTTCCTGCGTAGCATGTCTATGTGAGGGCGAGTCGCAGGTGGCAGGCAGCCAGCAGCAGCGATGACTAAGAACTTGCCGCTCCCAGTGCGGGCTGCGGCAGCCGAACGGGCTTCGACCAGGATCACGAGATCTCGAATCGTCGCAAGACCTCGGGCAGTCGAGCGGGACGAATTCACGGGTTGCGACCACGAGGACGCCCGTTTTTGTCGCGCGGCTGATTCTTGGGCAATCGAAGGCACACGTTGCGTACGTCTTTGAGCGATGCGTGCATGTGTGCGCGTGTGTTGGGTGTTTTGCGTGCTTGTTGTGTGCGTGTTAGTTGCCCGAGAGAACGGAGAACGACCCTCGGACCGAGGAGTCTTGAACAAAATGGCGACGGGCAGTTTGCCTCGTTGCGAGCCTAGGGGCCCTCGCGGACCGATTTGGCTCGAAGAATGAAGCAGAACGATGGGGTCGAGAGCTGCGATTGTAATTCGTCATGCCGCAATTTGATTCACGACTTCGGATCTCAGGGTAGGGGCCAGTCGAGGCCAATCGGTCACCCCTGGTGCTGACAGTGTGCATTCCTACGTGCTGGATTACACCTTGCGCTGATTGGTTCCATCCTAATTTAGACGGGCCCACTCCTGAGGCTTCCGTGTAGGGTTTCACTAGATCTTCATTACACGGTATACACAATCGTGAGGTAATGATGAACGCGGCACGTAGAGACAGCGCGGGAGACAGCGAAACAGCAAGAGAGAGAGGGAGAGAGAGAGAGAGAGGGTGCAATTGGCAGCACAGTGGAGGCGACGGTTCAGCAACAGTGGCTACAGAGACGGAGGCAGAGATGGGGACTATGCCAGAGAGAAGGACATCTATATCTATATATATATATATATATGACAAGCGGGTTACCCAGGAGAAGAAGTGTGTCTTTGTCGCCGACAAGGTTGGCGGAGGCGGACGCATTTGTGGTGCAGGCCCACGTCGCCGAGTCGGCCGATGAGCGCCACCCCCCTTCACGGCAGCTTCTCTTCGCATCCTTCAGGGGAGGAGGAGGAGGAGGAGGAGGAGGAGGAGGAGGAGAAGGAGGGGGAGGAGGAGGAGGAGGAGGAGGAGGAGGAGGAGGAGGAGAGGAAGGCGGACGAGGAGGAGGAGGGGGGAGAGGAGGAGGACGAGGAGTTTGACCCCCTTCCAGTGCTGGCGACCTGCCAATTCCGATCTGACTCGATGTCGAGTCTGGCCAGCTTGATCCGAGTCGATTCCAGTCGTTCGACAATCCGATGTGACCCGATGTTTGTTTGACGCTGTTGTGCATTGTGGCACGGTCGATTCGATTCGATCCATTGGCATACGCCGCCTTGCTGGCCCATGTTAGAGCCTTGGATGCAGTTCTTCTGGTGGGCGTTATCGTAGAAGCGTGTTGTCGCCGTCCGTCCACCCCACTTGGGAAGCCTCACACAGGACGCAAAACTGGCCCTGTTGGGTCATTTGGGTGCCGTTTGGGGGTCTCGTTTGGGCACTTGTAGGCGTTTTGGGACCCAGTGGGTCTTTCTTGGAGGCCCTCTTGGGGTTCTCTTGGGGCCCTCTTGAGCTGTTTTGGGGCCCTCTGGGGAGCCTTGCTGGCCGCCCTGGGGCGGTCTTTAGGGGCCTCTGGGGCCTCTGTGAAGGCTGTGAAGACCGACAAGGCGAATATGCTAAACATGTGCGCGGAGTGGAGCGACTGGTGGTTCTCTGGGCCTTGTTGGGAGTCCTCTTCGAGCGCTTTCGGGGCGTCATGGGGGCCTTTTGGGTGCATGGAGGCCATCTTGGGACGTGTTGGGGCCACCTGTGGCTACGTAGATGCCATCGGAGGCCTTCGGGGGGATGCTTTGAGCAGGTGAGGCCACGGCCCGGGTACCCTTCGGGGGCTCCACCAAAGGCCCAAGAGGCAAGGCCAGCATGTCAGCCCCGGCCCGTTTCGGCCACTCCTCTCACGTTCCGTGGCCACATAGGGAGCTCGACCGAATGCACCGCTGGCAGGGTGTGAGCAGGATCAGAACAATCCCGAGGTTTTGACAAATCCCCCAAGCAGTGCTTGCACTCAGGCGTTCTTACGTCGATGAATTCTCCAAGCAGGACTTGCACTTAGGGGCTCTTGCTTCTAAAATGAGCAACTGGGCGCGGGGTCGGTATGGCAGCTATGCTGTCGCCGTCGCCGCTTCGTCGCAGCCCGTCGTCTGGGCCTTCATGTCGGTTTGGTGGCTATGCACATATAAATTTATATGTACGTATGTATGTTTATAAATATATGTATGTATATGTATATGTATATGTCAGAGTGAGGGGGCCCGAACGGTCATTCGCTGTCCCTGGGTGCGTGGCTGAGGTGGGGATCCACGGCGAGGATTCTTGTTGCTGTTTTGTTGCGTCGTCCCCCCCCCCCGCTCCGCGACCCGCCCGCCACCCACCCGCCACCCACCCGCGACCCACCCCGCGACCCATCCCGCGACCCACCCCGCGACCCACCCGCGCGACCCACCCGCGACCCACCCACGACCCACCCCGCGACCCACCCGCGACCCACCCGCGATAACCCGCGACCCACCCCACGACCCACCCGCGACCCACGCCGCGCCCGCCCCTTCACTCTTATCCGCAATTGCGGGGTGCTACGCGGTATATGTATATATGTATATGTATCTGTGTATGTATATGTTTATGTATATGTATATGTATATGTCTATGTATACATATGTGTATATAGGTATATGTATATGTATATGTATATGTATATGTATATGTATATGTATATGTATATGTATGTAGGTGGGTATTTGTATTTGTGTGTATCTGTATGTATACATATGTATTGCGCCACCAATAATACACCACGTGACTTGCACCATGTTTGGCACCACATATATTGCACAACATGGATTGCACAACCTATGTTGCAAACCACAAAATGGCAGCACATAGATGACACCACGCGTATGTATATACATATATATATATATGCACATCGTTTGCGCAGTATCGTTTGTAACACATGTGTTGCGCAAAATGGATTGCACCGCGGATCTTGCACCATCCAGTTTGCTTCACATGTATTACAAAGCTAGGTTGTACCACATATCTTGCACCACATAGATTGCACCATGTTGAGCGCACCAGCTAAATTGCATAACACATCTTGCAAATCATAGATTACACAACCCAAGTAGATCGCACCACATTTACTGCTTCATGTCGATTGCACGTCATACGTTGCGCACCACAGACGTTGATCCACACATATGTCACCACATTGATTGCATCACATGTATTGAATACCATAGATTACATTACATGTGTTGCACCACATGTCATGCACAACATGTGTTGCATTAAATATTTTGCACAGCGTAGAACTACTTACATTCTCCTGTCTAAAGTAGAACAGATTCCACTACACCACTGAAGCCAGACTTAACCGCTCATCCTCGTGTGTTGCAATTTGCAAATGATTCTGCCTCATTGTTCATTACATTGTCCATATGACTTCATACCATCTCAGCCCAGCTGGTATGGACCCCTTCTGCCATCCGTGTCAATGAATGCCATGTGCGCACATTCGTTTATAACAAGTACGTTGTTTTCAAGGATCCTGTGTAAACGTGGGGCGAAGTGCACACGGGCACGTCGTCTCGCGCGCAGGCCAGAATCTTTCAAAAACTGCAGTCAATGATTTCACAGCCGAGAGCCCTGGACACAGGAACAAAATCATGGTTTCGACATTTGAATTTTCAATTCAGTCTGCGCACGTTCTTGCGAATTCTTGACAGAACCGTGCTTGTCCAATATTTTGCATCAAATGCGACAAAACGTGTTTTCTCCGCGCGCATGCCGAAATCATTTGAACGCCCTTGCGCGTGTGCTGGGAGGGCACGATCCCTTTGGAATAATTCCATGCGGGCCACTCGCGCGCGCATGTCGCAATCGCTCTAAAACGTTCATCTCCGACACGTGGACACCACTGTCGTCATCGGCGTGATCAGCATCGGTGCCGTCTTCGGCCTTGCCATCGCCATCGTCATCGTCATCGTCGTTACCAGCATCGTTACTATCATCATCGTGTTTGCCATTGCTGACGTCGCCATGGTACCGCGCCCGTTCGAGGCACCAGCTCGCAATGACGTGCCCGAGAGTCAGCACGGCGTGCACGACGCGCTGGGAAGTGCCCAGCGGTCAGCGCCACCGCGGCCGCGCCGGTCGCGCCAGATTAGCTGGTCGCTCTGCGCGCGAGCCTGCGCGCGCAAGCGCGGCTGCGGCGATACGCCAGCCAGCGCCAAGCAGTCATCGCAATCGCAGCCACATGGGTTAGGCAACCAAGTTGCTGGTGGGTGGGTGGGAGGGATGATTGCACGAGCATGGAGGCAGTCACGCTCGGAGCAGGCTAGTTAATTGCAGCATCTCGATTGCACCACGCAGACTGCACAACATAGAGAGCCACACATACACTACAACTACACAACCTGTATTGCATCACATCGCTTGCGTCACAGACATTGCACAACACACATGGCAAACCATCTGTTGTACCACAGAGATTGTGTAACGTACCATGCACAACGTAGGTTGCACAACATGTTCTGTCCATCATAGATTGCACAACTCGTTTTTCCTACAAACACATTGTTCTAGGGCTTACGCTGGCTAACGTGTGTAAGGCAATCGTAACAATCTGAGTGTTCAAACATGTTCCCTTGCAGTCGCAGTGATTTTTATTTCGACTGTTGGTCGTCTGTTTTGTTGGCTAGTTTGTTGACCAGTTGGCTGGGTGATCACCTGGTCGACTCTTTGTTTGGTCGGTTTCATTAAGGTCTGGTGGTTGGTCGGCTGATTGCACGATTGCTTGGTTTGTTTGTCGATTGTTTGGTTTGTTGGTCGGTTGGTTTGTTTAGTTTGCCGGTTGGTTGTTTGGTTGTTTGGTTGTTGGTTGGTTGTCAGGTCGGGGCTTCTGTACCGCATTCGTCACGCGGCAATGCCGTAGGGCGGTAACATGCCATTCCAAATTCGCTATTTGGCAGCGATGAGGGGCGGCAGACAGTTTTTTTATCCTGGCGGAGGACCCAACCATATGCAGTTGCGAGTGCCGCGTTGTGGGGACCGCTTTCGGTGGACCTCCCTGTCGTGCCACGAAACGTGTGAAGGGTGCGCTGAACTGGGCGGGGTGGCGTATGCGCACTTCGCTGCTGGGGCCTTCGGTGAAGCTCCATGTGGGGCGACGGAGCGATCGGTGGGGAACGGCATGTGGACTCGCCCGCTGGGGCCTTCGGTGGAGCCCCCATATGAGGCCACGAGGCATGTGAGGGGTGTGTCGGCGTGGGCGGGGAACCGCATGTGGACCCTCGCACCGTGGGCTTTCGGGGGGCCCCCGAAGGTGTGACGAAACTTTACGGAACGTGTGAGGGGTATGCCGAGATACGTGAGGAAACGGACGTGGGCCCTCCCACTTGGGCCTTAGGTGGCGCTCCCTATGGGGCTACGAAACCTGTGAGGGGTATGCCCACTGGGGCCTTCGGTGGAGCTCCCATATGGGGCCACGAAACGTGTCAGAGGTGGGCCGACATGGGCGGGGGACCGCATGTGCACCCTTCCACTGGGGCTTTCGGTGGAGCTCCCTATGGTGCCGCGAAGCGTGTGAGAGGTATGCCGAAAAGGGGAGGCGGAACCGCATGTGGACCTTCCCACCGGGTCCTTCGGTGGAGCCCCTTATGGGGCCACGAAATGCGTGACGGGTGTGCCGAAATGTTGGGGGAATTGTTTGTGGACCCTCCCAGTGGGGCTTTCGGTGGAGTTCCCAGTGGGGCCACGCAGCGTGTGAGGGCCTCCCCATCGGGCAACGAACCGTGCGATGGGCGTTTCGGAAAGGGCGGGAGGCGCGCGCATGTGAGCCCAGCTACGGGAGCTCGGCATCGCTAAGACGTGTGCATTTTTCCTTCGGCGAGGACCATCGAGGAGCATCCTTGATCATTTGGCGAA